GATGCGGGCAGCGAGAGAGCATACTCACCTGAGCACTTCCTGCTCAGCTCCCTCCGCGCCACTTAATGAAGCCGGGAGCCGGAATATGACGTTAGACCGGCTCCCGGCATCACTAAGAGCCACCAACTCAGCCTGTGCGCCCCCTGTCTGCCCGACCAGCAGCACCACTGGACAGGTAAGCAATCCACTCCAGCTCTCCCAGGGAGGCTGAGTGGATTTAAAATAAAATAAAAAAAATATTAATATATAATAATAATGTTGGGAAAAGTGTGTATGTCTCTGTAAGTGTGTATGTCTGTGAGTGAATGTGTGTGTGTGTGTGGGTCAGTGAGTGTGTATGTGTCGGTCAGTGAGTGCGTGCATCTGTCAGTGTGTGCGTGTCTGTCAGTGTGTGTTCAAGTAATAGTGTGTGTGTATGTCATTGTTTGTCAGTGTATATGAGAGTGTGTGTCTGTCAATGAGTGTATGCGTCTGTCAAAGTGCGGCCTTGACAAAAAGGGTTGGGGAAAATGTAAATTGGGGGGGGTGCCCGAACACCGTCCTGCCTACGGCAGCCCGAATCCTAAATACACCACTGCACACGGCTAAGGTGCAAGTACACACCGCAATCCTCTCTTGCCTTGACTACTGCAATCCCCTTCTCAGTGGTCTTACGTGTTCCCAGCTTGCCCCGTTGCAGTCTATAATGAATGCGGCAGCGAGGCTCATTTTCTTGTCCATCGCACCTCCCACGCCTCCCCCTCTGTCAGTCCTTACATTGGCTTCCTGTAATATATATGGCTCAATTTAAGACTCTGGTGCTTGCTTACAAGTCTCTACATAATGCTGCTCCAATTTACCTTTCGTCCCTAATATACAAGTATGTCCCATTTAGGCCCCTGTGCTCTGCCAAAGTCCTAGTCTATCCTCTGCCCATACTCCCACCTCTAATGCTTGTCTTCAAGACTTTTCCAGGGCTGTACCGTTCCTGTTGAACTCACTTCCAAATCATTGAAAACTCACTACTTCAGGAAAGCGTATAAACTGTTAACAGCTTTCCATTGCAGCACCCTGATTCCTCCCCCACAACTGTCAAAAATAACCTACTAAGCCCTCGGTGAATACTGCAACTACTTTTCTAGCCTACCCTTACCATTTGTATCATTATACCCCACTCCCTCTAGCATGTTGCAGTATTGTAGGGAGTACTGGAGACCATATCTCCAGAAGGAAATTGATACTTTGTAAAGAGTTCAGAGAAGGGCTACTAAACTGGTTCATGGACTGCAGGATAAAACTTACAAGGAAAGGTTAAAGGATCTTAACATGTATAGCTTGGAGGAAAGACGAGACAGGGGGGGATATGATAGAAACATTTAAATACATAAAGGGAATCAACAAAGTAAAGGAGGAGACTATATTTAAAAGAAGAAAAACTACCACAACAAGAGGACATAAATTAGAGGGGCAGAGGTTTAAAAATAATATCAGGAAGTATTACTTTACTGAGAGGGTAGTGGATGCATGGAATAGCCTTCCAGCTGACGTGGTAGAGGTTAACACAGTGAAGGAGTTTAAGCATGCGTGGGATAGGCATAAGGCTATCCTGGCTATAAGATAAGGTCAGGGACTAATGAAAGTATTTAGAAAATTGGGCAGACTAGATGGGCCGAATGGTTCTTATCTGCCGTCACATTATATGTTTCTATGTAAGCTTATTGAACCCTCAACCCTTCCACCTGAAGTCTGTGGATAGTTAATACAATGTTAAACAAAAATCTGCACACCAGTCAAGCCATAAGACTTGCTTTTCCCACAGAAATCACAAATTTACAGTGCTGTTACTACCGCAAAGGATTCTGGGTGAGTATATGCAAATTAATTTGATTTAATTACATATACCCACCCAGAATCCTTTGCGGTAGTAACATCACTGCACATTTGTGATTTCTGTGGGAAAAGCAAGTCTTATGGCTTGACTGCTGTGCAGATTTTTGTTTAACATTGTATTAACTATCCACAGACTTCAGGTGGAAGGGATTTTTATATATATATATATATATATATATATATGTGTGTGTGTGTATGTATGTATGTATATTATAAAACGTGTGTGTATGTATATATATATATATGTATATATATATATATATAACAAAAATATATATACACATACATACATACACACATCCATATATACACGCGTTTTATAACTCCCCCCCCCTCCAAAGTATGAATCCTGGAGACGCCATTGAACAAATGGCATTTTGATTGCGAAAGTGGATGTTCAAAGAGCCCTAAAGTTGGTAATATTTTTTCTTTAGGCTTCCTGGACAGTGTTTGGAAAAGAAGCCACAATCAGTCACTGAAGAGCATTTCTGTCACTGTCCACAACAACAGGGTAAAAACTAACAGTAAAATATCTGCGGTTTCCAACAATCTGTTAAGAAACAGGAAAGCAAAGTAAAGGACTGCAACAAAAAATAAATGCATAAATAAAATTTCAAAAAATAAACTTCTAAGATCACGTTTCTCAAAGAAAACTCAACGGTTATACTCATAGTTGGCCTTCAATGCTATTGAGATTATTCAGACAATTATCAGGTTACAGTGGAAAGAATCAGTCAACATTTGCTGGAAAACAGCTGAAAATCCTTTAAAGGAACATTCTTTGAACTCCTATTGTTTGCAGTTTTCAATGTTGTGATGAAACACTATGGACCACATGGGGTGTAGTCACTAACAGAGTCAAGGCACCAAGGCGGGGTCTCTTTACATTTTCTTGCAGGAGGAGGTCTTGCAGGAGATCTCAGATAACACAGATATTTCCTTTTCTCCTCCCATGCTCAGAGTCTTAGTCTGAATTGGCCATTATCTATGGGTTTTTTTTATCCTTGTGCTGGTACCCATTAACATGTGTATGTTAAAATAGAATATGTACAATGGTTATTTGAGTGTTGCTGCAGAAGGCTGCATTGATGGGAGTATAGTACCATTACAGCACCTTTCATTGGTTTAAATTGTTGCCACTAATGTTGACATATTGGTCAAAGCTAGCCGAGAGTTATTGTATTTACAGTCTATAGCATCTCTACTGTACAGGAGGATTAACACCTCATGTATAGAGTTGAGCGAACCCGGACTGTAAAGTTCGGGATCGTACCGAACATTACGTTTTTTGGACCATGGACCCGAACACGGACATATCACTGTATGTTCAGGTTGGAGTTCGGTGTTCGGCAATTTACTGACGCGTTTTGAAAGGCTGCAGGGCAGCCAACCAACAAGCGTTTGACTCGTTTGCCCTTAGAAGCCATCACAGCCATGCCTACTAATGGCATGGCTGTGATTGGCCAGTGCAGCATGTGACCCAGCCTCCATATAAGTTGGTTACTTAGTGTGGCGAAACCAACCTCGCCACTGGGCATTGGAGAAGCCTGTTTGCACGCTTCCTGCCTGCTGACTATGGTCCCTGGGAGATTTGGCCCTTTAAATACAGTATTTGGGCATATTGTATTTTATTATGCTGCTGCTGGTCCTTTAAGAACCATCTGGGGACATACTGTGGCTTTTGGGAACAATGCCCAGTCACCTAAAATACTTTGTTTGTAAAATGGGCATAAAAGCAGAGTGTTTGATTAAAAGCTTCAGTTCTACTTCAACCTCAATTTGGAGTGCCGTCTCTTATTGGGGGAATCTGCTACAAGGGATTGCTATGCTAGTCATACTCTCTTGCTATATCACTACTAAGCTCTTGTAAGAGCTTGTTCCTGTCTTACTCTCTGAAGGAGTCTACGGTAGTTATGGTATCAGCTGGAGTGCTTGGAGCCCTCAGGAAGCGCTAGGAGCATCCATCAATGGAGGTACCCAGTTGGGGTGCCAGGTGATCCGTTACATTGGTGGCAGCAGTGGGATGGCGTCCTATTGCGAGGTAAAGCAGCTCGGAGACACCGTTCGTGGATTTACAAATTGAGGGCAACGCTAGCACTTGTGCAGCGCCACTTGCAGCAGAGGTATCCAGCGACTTGGAGCAGACAAGTATGGAAGGTTCTGGCTCTGAAGATGATTGGCTGGGCGAGGTGTTGCTGCGAGTGGCCCAGTATGGGGATGATGTACCCATGGAGATATGCCAGGCGATCTGGAAACAGGTCACGGCCGAGCGAAACACAAGGATGGACCGAGAATTCTGGCTGGCGAAAGAGAGAGGAATGCTCAGGAATGTTACAGCAGCCGAGTAGAGGCTGCATCCGAGGAAGTTAGCCGTCTTCCCCTGAGGTGGCCAGAGGAACCCGAAGTAGGGGTCCTCATGGACTGGTCCTGTGAGGAACCACAACAGGCAGGTGGAGATGGGACTGAGGTCTCTCCACCAGGCCCAGTGGGATGCTGGGCAGCCGGCCCAGATCCCCAGCAGCAGGCGGATATACCGGGTGCGGAAGCCAGTGGTCCTTACTCGCAAATGTTGAGGGACCTTACAGACTGGTCCTGAGAAGACCCACAGATGGCAGGTGTAGATGGGACTGCGGTCTCTCTACTGGCCCTACAGGGATGCTGGGTGGTCGGCCCAGATCCCCAGTGGCTGTATGTATCACAGGGAGCTGAAGGTGCTATCCTTCCTCCCCAGTGGCAGATTGTGTCCTTAGGAGAGGAGAAAGTTGGGCCCTCTCCCCAGCAGTCCAGTGAGTCCCAGGCAGCCGAAGGTGCCGTCCTTCCTCCCCAGCGGCAGTATGTGTCACAGGGAGCTGAAGGTGTCGTCCTTCCTCCCCAGCGGCAGAGTGTGTCCTTAGGAGAGGAGACAGTTGGTCCCTCTTCCCAGCAGTCCAGTGAGTCGCATGGAGCCGAAGGTGCCGTCCTTCCTCCCCAGCGGCAGTGTGTCCTGCAGGGAGCAGAGACAGTAGGTCCCCGTCTCCATCAGCAGACAGAGTGTCAGGGAGAGGAGCCTGTTACCCCCTCTCCCCAGCGGCTGAAAGTGTGTAAGGGAGAGGAGCTTGTTACCCCATCTCCCCAGCGGCAACATAGCCCACCAAGGGGAGACACTAAGCTCCCCATGGGCGCAAATGGGACCGTGGTCTCTGCGCCCAAGCTACAGGGAGTACGGACAGTCGGTCCTGCTCCCCAGCGGCAGAGTATTCTACCGGGAGGGGAGAGCCTCGTTCCCCCTCCCCAGCGGCAGCCTAGCCCACCAAGGGGAGATGATAAGCCCCACACTGGTGCAGATGGGACCGTGGTCTCTGTGCCCAAATCACAGGGGGTAGGGACGGTCGGTCCTGTCCCCCAGCAGCAAGGCTGTTTATCCAAAGGGGAGCAACACCAGGTCCAGAGGGAGGAGCCTACTATCCCTTCTCCTCAGCTAGGCTCCAACCAGGCTACTCCCGTGGTAGCGCTGGCACCAGGGCAGAGTACCGCTGGTCTCTGCCCACTCAACAACCCACCGATCCGGAGGGCTAGTACCCCCCCAGAGCCATGGTGGAGCCCCTGGACATGGACAAGCTACCCACTACCCCAGGTGCAGTAACCAATTCTTGTGGGTGGGCCACTCTGTTGATTATGTTTTGTGGGTGGGTTGCTGGACTAACCAAGGCACTGACCGACAGGAGGTCAGATACCTTGTTAGTCCCGTTGGGAAAGGGGAGAAATGTGGCGAAACCAACCTCGCCACTGGGCATTGGAGAAGCCTGTTTGACGCTTCCTTCCTGCCAGGAAGCGCTAGGAGCATCCATCAACGGAGGTACCCAGTCGGGGTGCCAGGTGATCCGTTACATTTAGTATTATTAAATTATGCCCCTACTCGCTATATCACGAGTAGGGGCATGTCTATTAAACAGTGAGCTGCCTGCTCACTGTTAAAACAAAAAAAAAACATTCCCCCCCTCCTGAGCCCCCACCCACGACGCGCGAGTGGGCGCTTTTAAACTAAACGGGGGACCTATTGCTCCCCCCCGGTCCCCACCCCTGAGTGGTGGGTGGGGGCCCTAAATACCAATAGGGGGGACCTATTGTCCTCCCCCTGGCCCCCACCCCTGTGTGGTGGGTGGGGGCCATAAATAAAAGTTGGGGGGGACCTAATGTCCTCCCCCCGGCCCCCACCCCTGCTTGGTGGGTGGGGGCCATAAATAAGAATTGGGGGGAGACCTACTGTTCTCCTCCGGCCCCCACCCCTGCGAGGTGGGTGGGGGCCATAAATAAAAGTTGTGGGGGACCTACTGTTCCCTCCCTGTCCCCACCCCTGCGCGGTGGGTGGGGGCCATAACTAAAAATTGGGGGGGGCCTACTGTCCTCCCCCACCGGCCACCACCCCTGCGCGGCCGGTGGGGGCCCTAAATAACAATAAGGGGACCTACTGTCCTCCCCCCCAAACAACTATCAAGTAGTGGGGGGGAAATGCCTAAATTTTCAATAAAGCAAATGGAGTAAGCATCACAGTAATTGTTTTTTAATAGCCATGTTTCCTGAGTTGCAGTAAATCGAGCAATCATAGCATGTGCTTAAAGAATATTCTATATGTCCCAGTTCTAGATGGGAGGCTGTGTACCATCAGGCTAGCCATGGATTTACAGTGATATCTATGAAATGAATGAACTGTTAAACAGAGGAGAAATTCTAGAAAAAGCAATGATAGATGATCAAATGTACAAACATTCTAACTAATTTCTCTTTCATGAAATGATTTCCTATGGGAAAGCATTGGACTGGCTGAGATTATCAAGTTTGATGATCTCAGCCAAAGTGAAGCACACTTCAAAATCAACAAGATAACGTCATTTGTTTTTTACAGCTGTGCAACAGCATACATTCATTTTTTCAGTCCCATTACCAAACTTTTCTTAATATGTCAAGGTAGTTGGACTGAAACATATGCACGTTATATGCAAATGCGCGTCTCCATAAAATAAATTTGCTCTTTTGTTTACATTGAAGCCCTACGAGCTTGAGGACATCCAGGGTCAGGCAACTTTTTTATACTGTGCTTTTCTTAATAAACCTACGTTTCTAAATTTTTGTTTTTATGCGGCCCACATAAACTTAAACCTTGTTTATTTGGCCCGTGTTAGCCTTTGACTTGCCTGCTCTAGAGGTTTTCAACAGACGGCATTTCCTTTGTAGGGATAAATTTTGGTTTGCATGTGGCTCTGAGCTTTAATGACAGGAGAAGGCCTGCAAGCGGCCTAGGGCACTAATATAAAGAGGTTTGTGGGCTGCTGTCTCACAGCAAAATACTAAATATATGTTGTAGCTATATTATTTTATTATTATTGTGTTACAGTTATTGCAGTATTAGTATAAAACATTTAATATAAAATTAAGAATGAGGTAAAGTATGATGTGACATACATGTGACGGAATGTTATATTAAATTGTTTATACTAATATTGGCCTAAAATTGAAAAATATGTTTGTCGATTCCTCCAGATATAGCCAGCTCTCCCTGCTCATCTTGTCCAGATTTTCCCCTTCCAACTGTTGGGAGGTTTTTAAAACCTGTAGAAAGCAGGATAGAAGCTGATACATGTGGCATCCAGACACACAGGGATACTAGGAGATCAAATTGATCACTGGTGATAAAAAAAACAAAAACCTTGTAAAGCTATCAGGCAAGGAAATAGAAGTAGAACTGTGGCACAGATGCCAGTAATTGAATATGAAACATGTACATGGGTGTACTGGGGATCATTTTGGCAAAGGGAAAGTGTCTGGTTGATAACAAGAGCTCTGGAGTTTTCAATGAAAAATGTCAAGAGATGCAACATGTGAAGATGACAAGATGTTTACTCTTATGCTATTTGAAGATTATTATTATTATTATGATATTTATAGAGCGCCATCAAATTCCGCAGCGCTTTACAATGGGTGGACAAACAGACATGTAGTTGTAACCAGACAAGTTGGACACACAGGAACAGAGGGATTGAAGGCCCTGCTCAATGAGCTTACATGCTAGAGGGAGTGGGGTAAAATGACACAAAAAGGTAAGGATAGTATTAGACTAATGACAGTTGCAGAAGAGGAATCAGTCAGGAGCTATTAACAGTTTAATTGATACGCTTTTATGAAGAAGTGGGTTTTTAATGATTTTTGGAAGGAGTGATGCATCTAATGGAGGAGGGAAGCGAGTTCCACAGGAACGGTGCAGCCCTCGAGAAATCTTGAAGGCGAGCATCAGAGGTGGGAGTACGGACAGAAGATAGACTTAAGTCTTCAGCAGATCGTAAGGGCCTAGACGGGATAGATAGGTGGAAGCAGCATTATGTAGAGATTTGAAAGCAAGAACTAGAATTTTAAATTGAGCTCTATATTTTATAGGAAGCCAATGTAGGGACTGACAGAAGGGTGAGGCATGGGAGGTGCGAGCGGACAGGAAGATGAGCCTCGCCGCATTCATTATGGACTGTAACGGCGCTAGTTGGGAGCACGTAAGACCACTGAGAAGCGGATTACAGTAGTCAAGGCGAGAAAGTACAGTGGAATGGACCAACACCTTAGTCGCATCTGGCGTTAAGTAGGGGCGGATGCGTGCAATGTTTTTGAGGTGGAAATGACAGGATTTGTCGATAGATTGAACATGAGGCTTGAAGGAGAGGTCGGAGTCGAAGAGAACACCTAGGCAGCGAGCCTGTGTGGTGGAGCTGATGGTAGCACCGTTGACTTGGAGGGAGACAGACACAGGAGTAACAACACTTGAGGGAGGAAAAAACAGAATTTCAGTTTTGGTCAAATTTAGTTTGAGGAAGTGGGCAGCTATCCAGTTAGAAACAGCAGAGAGGCAGTTAGAGACACTAGTCAAGAGGGACGGGGAGAGATCTGGAGAGGACAGGTAGATTTGCGTGTCATCTGCATAGAAATGATATTGGAAGCCAAAGGAGCTAATGAGTTTACCAAGGGAGGCAGTATAGATGGAGAACAGTAGGGGACCAAGGACTGAACCTTGGGGACACCAACAGAGAGGAGTTGGGGAGAAGAAGCAGAGCCAGAGAAAGAAACACTGAAAGAATGCTGGGAGAGGTAGGAGGAGCACCAGGAGAGAGCAGTATCTTGTAGACCGATAAAATGTTTACTATTATGCTATCAGCTGTGAAAAAGCACATATTAAATAAAAAAAAAATGTAAAACACAAAATTCTAGGTTCCCATCATCCTGAATTTGCATGTCTACTTTAAAAGTAAACAAAGTTGAAAAGATACGTGTATCCCACTCAATTTTAGGGGACTGAGGGTTATGGAAAGCATAGATTGAGAGGCTTAGGTTTGGAGAATGTCTCTCTTAAAAGGTGTTGTGGACTCTAACTCCTATTACTCTTTACCAGACTTTCACCTAACCTTACCTTAGTGTTCTCCCTTTTAGCAGTGTCATTTTCTGCAGGGTAATAATCCTGCAGGTATTAATGTAACATGCCATCCTAGTTAATAGCAACACTTTGGTTCAACTGAGTTGAGATTTTAGATATATATGAAGAGCTTATTTTATTATATTTACCCTACGGCGACAAGGAAACAACAAAAAAATAAAATAAACGAAATATAGAAGTGTAAACCCGGCTGACAGCAAGAAAATAATTCACAGTAGTGCCATATCTATGAAAGCTCATGCACAAATAACAAGTGTATTGCCTTGTGTATGTAATTTGAAAATGTATAAAAGGAGGTGAGAATAAGATTTTATTTTGCCATATCTGATAACATATGGCAATCAGATTTCTAGGAAAATTTCATAAAATGTAGCTGGGCTAAAAAAAAGATCAATAGGGCTGTTTTCATGGCAATAAATCGTGTATGACAATAATTTGGAATATTAAGTAACAACTGCATTACAGGTAGTAAATCATACCTGGAATCTTTAAAATTCCCATGCATAGAGCTTCTCTGATTTACACAAAGGGAGTAGTTTGTAGTTAATTATCTAGGGACCCAGCTAGAGAGCTCTACAAGCCATTTCTTCTTGCTCAGAGAAAAGTACTTTTTTACCCGACAGCCTGTTCTCACACAGGTGAAGCCCAGCATGTTCCCATGTATGGTAGTAAAGAAAAACAGTGTGTAAGAATCATATCAGAAATCCAGTAAATTTGTCAGAACTCCACCTAATAGGTGGTATAAAAAAAGTAAATAAAAAATACTCTGAATAAATGACATACAAAATAGTTGCATTTATTGTAGAAATAAAAAAACATTTCACAAATCATTGCACTACAAACAAAGAGAACCCCTATGTTTTTTTTTTTATTCTTTATTTTTTGCTGTGCACAGATTACATAAAATGCTTGC